TGTTGTTTTTTACCGGGAAAGGGGCGGGGGATGGCATGCAATTTTTTAGTGTGCATAATATGGGGTTGTTTTGCTTGTAGCCGACCCCCCCCCCCCAAAAAAAAAAAGAGAAAAAAAGAAGGGACAGGAAGAACACACAAAAATGATGGGGGAAAGGGTGGGGTATTTTTGTGAGTGAAAGAAAAAAATGGGGAAAAATGAAAGAGAATTAAAACAACGATAGAAGAGATGTGCGAGAGCATTATTACCTTTCGTTTAAAAGAATAATGGGATAACAACCAGGGGCGTCGCCTAAGGGGGAGGGAGTTTGGGGTGCGACACCCCAAACCCCCCCCCCCCCCCCACCTGTCAGGATATTGGCGGTAAAATTACACTGCTGTCGGGGAAAATGAGAAAAGGGGAGGGGGAAATGAGAGGGAAAGGGAAAGAAAAGAAAAAAGGAAAAGAAAGGAAAGAGAAGAGAAGAAAGAAAGAGAAAAAAAAGAAAATAGGAAGGAGAGGAAAGAAAGGAAAAGAAAGAAAAGAAAGAAATGGAGAAAAGGAAAAAAGAAGAGAAAAGGGATACAAAAGAAAGAGAGGAGAAAGAGAGGAGAAAGAGTAAAAAGGGGAAACTGAATTGAGACAAGGATTAAGAGTCGGGAACGATATCATACAACAAATCGTCTTCTTTCTCCAATAATGAATTGAAACTTCATAGCTTCTGCGCTTCACGCGGGAGGGGCGAAACAAGAAGTAAAGAGTCGGGAATGGTACACCGAATTGTCTTCTTTCTCTAATGATTTAATGAAACGTCAAAACTTCCGCGTTTCGCGCAGGAGGGGGAAACCGAATTCATACAAGGATTAGGAGTCGAGAAACGGTACACGAATCGTCTTCTTTCTTTAATAACTTAATGAGGTGTCAAAGCTTCTGCGCTTCACGCGGGAGGGGCGAAACAGGAAGTAAGAGTCAGGAATGGTACACCGAATCGTCTTCTTTCTCTAATGATTTAATGAAACGTGAAGCTTCCGCGTTTCGCGCAGGAGGGGGAAACCGAATTCATATAAGGATTATGAGTCGAGAACGGTAAAAGAATCGTCTCCTTTCTTTAATAATTTAATGAGGTGTCAAAGCTTCCGCGCTTCGCGCTTGAGGGGGGAAAACTGAAAAATAACTTAGTTCCTGGCCCCGAGCTTATAGGGTTAAATTTGAAGACCGGCATTGGGACGTTGGCATTAATATATTTGTCGGTAATTGGTGGCTAGTATTGTCGGTAATCGGTGACCTGTACACTCACCCCCCCCCCCCCTTCCACACTGAAAAAGATCTAGCGACGCCCTTGATAACAACACAGTTTATACACTCGAGATATATTTTGCAAGTACTACTGGTGAAATACCAGACCACCGTGTTTGTGCATATACGTTTCGCGACGTGACAGATCACTTTTCTCTAACTTTTCTCTAGTTTTTCCCGGTGGACATTAATGCGCCAAATGTGGTTCTCGAATTGCAAAAGATCCCTACTCTTGAAGGGGGTAGGAGGAAGCAATTTTACTCCAGGAAGTGCCTGAAAATGCGCTTAATGTGGGTCTAAAATTGCAAATGCTTCCTACCCCCGCCCCCCCCCCCCCCCCCGCTTGGCCGCTCTGCTCCTTCGCCGCTGACGCCTCGCTCTGTTGCCTCGCTTCATCGTATTATGTCACCCCATGCGATTTTGTGCCCCCCCCCCCCGATAGGAAATTCCTGGATCCGCCACTAATTGTTGTCAAAATCAAGGTTAGATATGGTGAGCTGACAAGGCTACCCTCTTTTAATATTTTTTGTTAAACAGGCCTATGATATAATATTATGTCTCCGTCACCTCTCAGTTAGGCCTACATCAATATACGTTTTACAATATAATTGGTTATGCAGCAAGGGTATAGCCTAATCAGTAATTATTACGAATAGGGATATGTGATATGCCCTATATGCGCGGATCCAGGGGGCTGAGCGGGCGTTGCCCCCCCCCCCCCCTCCTGCCCCCCCCCCCCCATGGCCCCCCAAAAGTAATTTTTTTTAAATAATTTTTTTGTTTAATTGTGACCCGAAATTTACCTTTAATTTGTATTGCTCAAGGGGGGGGGGTTGAGAATAAGAAGAAAAAACGCTCACTATGCCCCAACTGAGCGAAATATCGGCCGGCGCGATTTTCACAATTTCGGGGTCGAAATAGATCTGATTGATTCCTTAATTCTCCGAACTATTAAATAACAATTCAATAAAATTTTAGGTGAATGTAAATCGCCACAAAGCAATATCTTGGCTCATACCATTCCGGACATTTAAGTGTTGACAGATTGTTTTTAAAGCCTGACCTATGTTTTAATTTCATGGAAAAACAATTGGGGAAAATTCAAAAATGGTTTGGAGAATTTACTGTTAGGGGGTGTTGCACTGTGACGCCATCTTAGAAAACCATTAATATCTTTGTGGTTTGAGAATTTGTTCAGCATTTTTGTGCAAGTTTGAGGGTTAGTACAGTAGAAGGAATATGATAAGTAACATTTCATATACACAAATTACGCAGTTTTTTAGTCAACCTTCAAAAATGTTACCGAGTCACTTTTTAAGATAATCCAAATTGAGAATTGATATCAAAAATTTAACCTGATTTGGTCTGATTTATTAAAGGGGCAATATTAATGAGTCCATCTCGCTGCCCGAATATTACTCGAGAGCTTTAAATACCAACATCAATTTTGTCTCTAGTCGCGCGTGGATATACTCGCATCAGTAAACTTTCGACGGGTCCTCATGCTCGACCATGTACATTAGTCAATAAAGAACTTAAGTAGATTATAGTAATTTTTTAATAACTGTAATTAGTAGAGAACCACTCTGCCGTGCAGAATGGCGTGCATCATCATAGGTGGGTTGTATGTATAGGTACACCATGATTAGAAAAATGTCGTTTAATTACCTGGACCCGACTTCTCGGGCCTCTGTCTCGCTCGCGCGCGCTCTGTCTCTCTCTCTCTCTGTCTCTCTCTTTCTCTCTCGCTCGCTCTCTCTCTCTCTCTCTCTCTCTCTCTGTCTCTTACTCTATGTTTAGGCCTAAAAAAAAAAATTGATGACTTGGCGTAACCCGCCCGACCCTATTTTTATCGCCGACCCTACGCTTTTTTTAATTTTTTTTAACTGTTTGTTATTACAGAGCCATTCACATGTTAACCTCTAGACAAGTTATAAAAATGCTAGTCAATACATTGTGAAAATACTAATATTTGTGAACAGCCCCTTCTAAACCTACATATTCACCTGTTTATCCTGTTGAAGACAGTGTCTGAGATATCTCAGGCTGGGGTCTGTTGGAAACCTATTAATGCGTTCGTATGTTTGCATTTTATGTGCATGAGGGTGTATGTACATGTTCATGTATGTATGCAGGGGGGGGGGGGGGCAGGTGTATGTATGCATCCCCCAGGTCCCAAGGTGATCAAGATTTCAACAATTTCTTGCTCACTTTGCTCACACAGTGTGTGTGTCCATATATGTGTGTGTGTGTGCGTGGAGGTATTTGAACATATTGTGGTCTACCCCTCTCATCAGATCATCCCCAAGGTCTGAGGACCTATCTACGCCACTGTATGTATGTATGTGTATGAATGGCTAATTTCATGTATGCAAATATAAGCAACAACAAAAAAAAAAAAAAAAAAAAAAAAAAAATCGCCCTACCTACCCTAATTTTCAGTGACCCGTTACGCCAAGTCATCAATTTTTTTTTAAGGCCTTATGTTATCTTCCCTTCTCCCACCACCACTATCTCCCCACATTATTTTCTCTCTCTCTCTCTCTCTCTCTCTCTCTCTTTATCCACCCTTTTCCCTCAACATAATCAAAACCCTATACCATCAACGCCCATTAGTAATTACTGTTAATGAAGCCTTCACAATGCTCAGAACCACTTCCTCAAAACAGGCTAGGCGTTTGATTATGAACAAAATAATAGAAAGCGACGTCCCTGAACTAATGATTAAAGTAATAGAGCCTCAATCCGCGGCCGATTAAAATTGGCACTGTTTTTATTTTGTAAATGAGAATGGCACGTAGGAGAATTATCACCATTAGGCCTTCCGTAAATTAAAAGATAAAAATAACAATGAGAAAACATGAGCCCTCGCCGGCTCTGAATTGTTCAACGAATATGAGGCTCGACGTCTTTGCGGACGTGCAAATTGATGCTCTCGGGTAGAGTTGGAAATGACTTGTGTCTAGATATAAAAGAACCCGTGCATGTCTATTGATCACCGTGATGGTGTTTTGATGATGTTTCCAATGCCAACGGTTTGAGAATGAGAGTTCTCCATAAGTTTAAAACAAACCTCAGAGAAAAGGAAACTATGTAGGGCAGGAAACAGAAATTATGAGGACGAGAAGAAGTAGAAGGGACTATCAACGCGGGAAATTTCTTCGTTAATCTCTGAAAACGTCGATCATTTGTGTTATTCCGTTGCTGCAACCGTCCAGGAAAGTTCATTCCTTCGATTGGCCTTCGGTTGACCTTCGATAACGATGACGTTTTTGAAGATTTTGTGATTCAAGGAAAGACTTAATGAAAATTTAACTTTTGCGATTGCCTGTACTGACTAGAATATTGGGCTTTTTTTAAGTTCAGAAAAAAAAATCGAGTCGGGGAGGTGTTATTATTAGCAAAATCACTACTATTAGGTATTTGTTGTCAACCTGTAAAAGCGAACTGAGTCACTGTGACCCTAGCCCCCCCCCCCCCCCCTCCCCCCTCGGGTCTCTCCTCCTGATGTAAATAATTGATTGGGGATGAATGGACTGCTACACCAAGCCCCATCCCATCTCGTCATGCTATTTCGATAGTGCAGTGGGTTCTTAACGTGGAAAGGTGGTGAATCTCCTCTACATGAGACCTACATTTAACGTCATATCCGAGGTACGGCTGAGTGTTTTCCATCGTAACCTAGCCTGCGTCTATAAAAACCGGCCAGGGGTCCCTTAAGGGGCACGTTAGCACATGCAGCAGGCTTCAGCAATCCGCCTGGGTTGGATTCGAACCCGCGATCATCATTTCGACAGGCGGACGCTTAAATTAATTACCGACTGAGTCAACTCGCCTGTGTGAGTTTCATCTGAACAAAATATGGATTCGGGTGCTTCGTACGACAGCCGTGTCTTCTCGATGGAGCCCGGAGATACAGGCGCCGTAGCAGGGGGGAATGGGGGTGCTGGGGGATCCCACAAAGACCATGGACGTCAAGAGAAATCTTGGTGGAAGCTTCTGTCCAGGTCATTCGGAGACGCCGTTGGTGTATCTGGTATCAAGTTTGTCTTCAATGGCAAAGAAATGATGCTGAGGAGGTGAGTAGACTAATAATAATTATCTTGTGCCAATAGATAAAAGCCGATGTAATATACGTCTTTATCTTGTTTAATTACACCTACGTTGTTTGTATATATGGGTAATACCATAAATTAGTGACCCACTTTGTGACATTTTTGGTGTCCTAGTTACATAAGCAGGCCCGGAGCCCCTCCCCAGGACGTCGATCAATTACATGTATGTGCCCCCCCCCCCAAACATCAAACTCTGGCTACGGCCCTGTACATAAGGAACCCACAATTATTAATTTGTGTGACTCTGAGTAAAGACTTATATAGTGGAGTATGATTGTTAAGTGATTCTAGGTATGATGGTACAGTATTATGCTTGAAAATCACTTTACAATCTCACTCCACTATCTAAATCTTAACTCAGAGCCTAAACTACGTAGGGGTTCCCGTTATAAAAAAATGTCACGAAGTGGGTCCCTACCTAATTTATGGAATTATCCATAAGTTACATTTTTTGTTGCATAAAGAGGTTTGTATCTTCATAATACCTACATTCTTTCTTTCTTTTTCTTTTGTTGAATGACATTTTGTTAGTTTAACATGCTTGCAAAGACTTTCGAAAAATCAACTGTAAACAATGTGCAAACATGACAATGACATAGTACGTAATCCGAACATTATTTCTTTAAAGGGATCCGGTAACTTTGTCTCAGATTCTGAAATAAAATTCTGGATTTAGCTCATGATGCAATGATAATTATAAACCTTTAGGTCAGTCAGAAACCCCATGACTTTTACAAGCCGATCGCCTGTCTGATTATCAAGATATTTATGATTGGAATTACAAATTTTGAAAACCGTTCACCTGACGGTTTTCATAACACTACAGTCTATTGGGGAAAACGAGTATGGTAAAACCGCTCAAAGATTTTGACTTTTTTGAGGCACTTCTTGATCATTTTGAAGCGCAATTTTTCTAGGGCTTCAATATTACACCATATCGCAGACACTGATAGCACGTAGGGCCATGTATCTCAGATTTAACATTGTTAAACGATCCCTTTAAGATATAGGGTGGACCCTATTGAAATTTCCCTTGAGTTTGTTTCTCAACATTCTTTTGCGACAATGTTAAAAGAATAATTCATAAGCTTTAATTTCTTATCTGTATCTACATTTGTTGTCCAACTACAAATTATTAATGACTATGAGCTTTATTATAATACTACCCAGTTCATGTTACCTATCAACATTTTTTTTATTCATGCAGTTTATATCGCTACAATTTGGTGCATGGTATACTGCTTTAATAGTGAAGAATTGACCTACATTATATTCCAGTCTAAAATACATTATTCAGTCATAGAAATTGTTCAGCAACATGTTGTATATTGATTTACGGGAGGCGGTGAGCATGTAAAGTTCTTTTCTATTTCTTGTTTTAATTTCTTGTTTTAATTAATCATTATTTTGTTTTTGTTTTCATTTTGATAAAAGTTTTTCCATGTTTTGAACATTGACAGCAAAGCTAACATGAACAAAAAATATGTAATTTATTTTGTACTGACATTGTAACACCCTGCGGAAAGAGCTGTTTAAAGTCTCAAGGCTACACCAAAGGTTTTGATTTTTAAAATGTAAATTATATTTTGGCTCACGATGGTTAATAACTCAAGGGAAAAGTGTATTAGAAAATCTATCTTTCAATAAATGTTAAATATTCCATTCTTATTATATGACCCCCCCCCCCCCCCCCATCCTCATTCTTCTCATCTCATGAATTATAACCATTTGATAAATGTTTGTACAGTTTGTAAGAATGAATTCTTTATTTATCTTACTTTCTTTACCAGGAAAAAAAAGGAGAAAAAAAAGCCCCACATAGTTCTTCAATAGAGATGTAAATTCACCAACACAACTTATATTTCTTATCTTTTCTTCAGATACAAGTACATATACATAATTCTGTATCCCATTTGCATCCATTCTCTTCAACGACATAAAACATAAAACATTTACACTTTTAAGCCCTGCTCACACCTGGTGCAATGATCTGCCTAACCTAACTGATGCAGCAACAAAGAAAAAAAAAAAAAGAAAAAAAGAAAACAAGTGTAGCGTGTGTCAAACCTGTACAATTTTAGAGAGCTTCCAATAATCCAGTTTGTAGATACAATCTGGGTTTGGGCAGATAATGGTCATTTGTACAAAATTGTAAACCCACCAGGATAAATACTGGATATGTTTTCATGAAATTTATGTAGTCCCTATTCATTTATATCCCACGATGTGAAACGGGTCCCAGGTGAACCTAATGAAAGACTTCAAAAGGACTGTTAATTTACTATATAACGTTTTGAATTCCTATCTCTGTGAGCAGTTCACAGTTGAGATGTAACTGCAATAATAACGACATTGCTCGAGAGGAAAAATTCTGCTCTCTCGATCTATATATTTAAGAATATACATGAATAATACGTACCTAAAATGGAAAGGCAATTTAAAAAATGTCTGCAGATTCATTACAACATCCGGGAGGCTCATTTTCACAGTATACTCATTTGCATCAAGTTTAAACTATCCAATTACAAGATTCTTTGTATTTATTCAGACAACTGATATATACCAGCTTATTTCTTCTCATTTCTTTACAAAGACCACTAAAACAACATCGGTAAAGTTTGGTTTCTCTTCGAAACTACAATTTCTAGATTTCCAACGACTCAATGGAGGCAAAACAGAAAGAGTAGTAAGATCATTTTCATTTTGTATGCAATGAATATCGGTGTGAAGATTCAATGTAGGTAATGAAATGACTAAACACGGTGGTTTTTCTGACCGGCACCACCATCCCAATCTCCTGAAAGCATTTCCTTTTGTACATCCAACTCAGCACTACCTGTACACAACTTGACAAATTCTTGGACATTTTCCTCCAACAAAATACAACTTCTCTGCAGGAAAATACACCCAAACACTGATTTTAGTGAAGTTACAGAACAGACATAAAGGGTGCAGACATGTAGCATAACACTTACTCTGTCTTAATTCCATGTACAGTTTACAGCATAAGCTTTAGAATGTCTTTTAGCAAAAATAATGTTCACGTAGACAACAATGAATTCTTTAGTTATAATATCTTTCGGTGATTCCGTGCAATGCATCTTGTGTGACACATGACGTCTATTCACCCATTTCATCCATGAACAAACAAAATCTTCTGATACGACTATGACAAATGGTAATAGTAGCAGAAAGCACGATGTTTCATTGGTCACACCACAATACTCGTTCATTTTTGGATGAAATATGTGTAAACATAGACATATATACGAGACACATTGCATGGAATCGCCCCTCTGTTTACTTTGATTGAGAAGTCTTTGTATACTGGGTGCTCTAGAAAATTTGGTGATGAAGCATAAAGCTGAATGATACGTCAAATGCGTTGTGTATAATACGATACAACGTTGTGGCGTTACATTGCGGCGTTACGGAATGTTACGGCGCTAGACTGCGGATTTACGGCGTTACATTACGGATTTACGACGTTATCTACGGCGTTACGTATCAAATAACAAAATATATCAAATGACAAACTATAATTATAAAGATTCAATTTCCTTTGAATCAAATCCGAGTTAAACATCAACGAGTCAACACGAACACTTTCGATATGTCCAAGCGTTACGCTTGTTCACTATGCGATAAGACCTATAGTCGCAAGTTCGACATGAAGAGGCACGGACAGAATGTACATCCTGATATGAAAGATCATGGGTATGAGACTGAAGAATCCAACGCTGGTGAAGAAACTAGTGAAGATGATTTCTCCGAACCACCCTCTAAAAAGCAAAGAGTTGTAGAATCTAGCGATGAATCTGAAACAAGTGATTCAGAAAGAGAAGGAGAGGATGAATCGTCAAAGTCAGAGACACCTGACATGAAAGAACCTGAGGACAACCCTGCTTATCAAGAATGGTTAGAACAGGCCATGACAAACACCGAGGACCTCAGGGACAAAAAATATCAAAAGTATATCTCCGATGGTATGGATGAAGAAGAAGCTAAAGAAAAGGCTCACGTGAAAGTTCTATGGGCTGTCAAACGCAGCTTTTTCGATCTTTACTCCAACTTCTTGCAGCAGAATGTGTACCTTGGAAGAGCTGACATCAATCATGAAATTATGTCTGACCTCACTGAAAAAGTAGAAAACGGCATGAATCTTCGGAAAGCCGTGAAAAGAGTCTTAGCGAGACACGGTTCACAATTCGAGGGCTTATTCCAGTATCAGGATGAGAATGACGATGATAGTGAAGAAGAGACGGAGGGTTCAGATGGAAGCGAAAACTAAGACTTGACATCACCTTGACAAAGAACACTTCGTCGACAACCCTAATAAGAGATGGCAAATTTACTCCATTTCAACATGTACATCGATCGATCTTTCTGCGTTTAAACGTGCATACCTGTACGGGTCCCCCCCCCCCCCCCAAAAAAAAAGAGAGAAAACTTTCTTTTATGTTTTAAAGATAGTTATACCTATTATGTTTACTGTATTATGTTAACAATTTTTACATATTTACGATGAAATAATACAATAATGTGACTTGGGTTCTATTATTTTTCTCTATTTATAAATGTTTTGTATATTCTATCTTTGCTTCCTGGTAACATGACTACATTGCAATTCTTATCTTTGTATTCAAATCTGTTTTGCATAAAGTTGTCCACATTGAAACGGAAACAAATAAAGTAAAATAAAGTAAAATATCTGTACTACATATTGTTTTATGTCATGGATGTGTGTATTCTACGTCACAATAGTCGTACAACATACACATTATGTCCAGAATGAATAGAGTCGAGATGGTGAAAGTATGCAATAGAGTCGAGATGGTGAAAGTATGAAATAGAGTCGAGATGGAGAAAGTATGAAATAGAGTCGAGATGGAGAAAGTATGAAAATGAGTTACGGAGTTGATACTAGAGTGTTAGACCTCAAAAAGAGAGTGGGTGCTCTAGAA